AAAGTGCCATCTGAAAACTGTCTACCAGTTGTCAATTTTGCAGGTTGGCAGCTCAAATTTCACTACTTCAAGTTTATGCATAAATTAACACCCAGGCTAGTTGTCTGTACGATTGTTGTAACACTGTTCAATCAAAAACAATGCCCCAGGTGTTTTGAAGATAAACACATTGTCAATCATTTGTGAAAATTCAAAACAAAAGGTCAAAGCGTCTAGGAGCTTTTTTTTTTTAAAGTTCTGAAAAGTGCACTAAAAAGAAATTGAGATAATTGCTAATTTGCATAACAATTCACTCAGTAAAAAGTTTGCTAATGCTCATAATTAAAATGGCTGTAACAGTTTTAAATTTAAATGTATTATCGTTTTGTTAAAAGTTAAATATAGTGCATAATATGGAGATCCCGTCATTTCTTTTTTTCACTATATTTCTTTTTTATTATTTATGTACAGCCTTGCTAAATTTTGCTAAGCATTCAAATGAGATAATGTTTGCACCTGTTATCTATATTTTAAAATTGTTTTTTAAGTATGTTCCACTATTCACAATTCTACAAAATTTTAAGTCTATAGCCAAGACTGTTTGGATAATAAAAAGCAAAAAAAAAATTTCACTCCCAAGTGCCCTTGAACCTGCATCTCTACCTTAAAGATCTAGATATAGACCACTTGTGGCATGAAGAAAAAAAGCAAAATGCGAACAATGCAATTATAGATAAAATAATATCAGAAAAACTAAAAACAAAATTTGAAAAAAATTGTAAACAGATTTTAGACAACGATAACAAGGGGGAAAATAAACAAATAGCAAAATACATGGAGAACTGTTTCAAAACTAGAGAGGAAAAACTGAAAACAATATAGTCAGCTAACTCAAGATAAGGTCATGTACATGCATTAGTAATCCAAACATTCACCAACACAAATATGGAAAACAATCCAATTTACTTTACCATTATTCCATTATTATTTTTTTTTCTACTTTTATTTGCTTGTCAGTGTTTTTTTTTTTATTTTTATTTTCCTGTATGTATTTTTATTCTCACTTTTATTGTTTGTTTCTTTATTCAAAATCTTAATAGGGATACGAACGCAATAAATATAATTATTATTCATATATAAATAAAAAAAAATATTGTAATATATAGAGATTAAATAAAAAGTTGAACAGATCTTGAAAACTGATCGAATGTCAAGCTAAGCTTGGCTCCAGTAGATACATCTGTAATCTTATTCACAAACCCGTTTTTTATAATCATTAATAAATTGCAATTCCATTTGAAACAAAAGATTTTGCCGGCTGATAGAATATCATTCATCCTTCATTAATGGTCACCTGACTTGAAGCCATTCATTCATGTTAGACTTAAAAAGCTTTTTTCTAAAAAAAAATGTTTTTTTTTTCATTCTTAGAATCATAACAATGTTTCTAATCATCATTATGTTTTTTGATTTAATAGGCCATACACAGCCATGAAGTCCCACATGTCAACAGTGTGGTTTGATCGAAAGAGAATTGATAACAAGTCTCCTGAAGATGATGACTCTATAATGACATCAGCTGAACTCCTTGGAGAACTTATCAACTCTGAAGTCAGGGAAGGTATCCCAAAACATCGGATCATTGTCGGTAAGTGAATGTACATGACCTTCTGCATATAAGTATGTGGGTATTGCTGTGGATAAAGTTATATTTCCAGTAGCAATAAAGATATCCACATTTCATTTATTATAAAGAATTGCAATATTACATACCAGTATGCTATACCTACAACAAGTCTTGCTCCCAGATTTCATCAACTGTAACTTTTACATTTGCCATATTTATTTACCACACAGTATTCACAGGACGTGGTAATTCCATTCAGTCATTAAAACTACTGCATTTGAGTGATTCAACTTCATATGCTATATGTAGTACTGTGGCTATATGAAATTTTGAACAATTGACTAGTGCTTTAATCTAATTCTCAATGACAGTTGCCTGTATTTTAAACAATACACATGGAAATCTATGCAGATTATAAGAACCTATATGCGATGATTAAAGAAATTACATGAAGTTTTTTGGTCAACATTTTTTCCACCTAAATTTCAGCCAGAATTTTCTATGCAAAATTTTGTTTAGATATATTAATGTATTTTTTTAGGACTTTTATTCTCACTTTAGCCATCAAAAAAAAGATTAAACCAGGCAGAAAGTGTATCGTTATTATAGGTCCATTCTGAATTTTGAGTTTGTTTTTTGCATCTTGTACTAATTGCACTATTTTATTTTCAAGTTTCCTTAGCAGTTTTACTGTTTGTCCAATTTTGTTTTAGGGTTTCAATGAAATGGAACGATGTGGGAGCTGTTTTTTTTAATTGTCTTTTTTTCATACATACCATCATTTTTTATCTCAAAGAAATTTTCTTGACATTATTCTGTCTCCCTTTTGTGATCCCAAATCAAATGCACCCAAATACAGATGGGACAGTGACTTGTTGTATCCATTTTCTGACCATCAACACTTACAGTATAACTTAACTACATTATTGACTACAAGATTTCAGCATGCCTATTATACTTGATAACCAAAGTAATTCACAGATCAAATCTTTTAAAAAAAATCACTTTTGTAGACTGAGGAGTTAATTTTTTTAACTCACTGAGTATAATGCAGAAATTGGGAAGGCATGGTTACAGTAATTCTAAGGGTACATGCTACAACTTACTGTAAACTGTAAATTATCAAGATTTCAGGATATTATAACATTTCTGTAAAAAAAAAAATTCAAAAGTCGATGTTGTAGGAACCCCAAGAAATATTTCCTGCTACAAGATTTCGCAATTTCTACTGACTTGCAAAATTGTATCTCACAAATTTAAAGCGAAATTTTGTTAACAAGTAGATATATGCAATGAAAGAGCTGATATTATAGTAGAAATAATAACCAAGTCAGCTCTGAGATAAAGTACAGATAAATTTGCCTGTTTAAAAGTTTAAAATATAACCAGACAGAATGGCTAGACTCATCTAATTTACACTGTTTCATCTGACAATGAGGTTGGTTGAACTCACATGACTTTATTGACCCTATGTCACTGTGCACCTCAATCACCCTTTTTAAGAATGAAAGGTTTTTTTGTATAGCGACAATACAACTGTACGCTCTGAAAGCCAGGCATTGTGAATTCTAAATTTATGGCATACATTTGAAAGTTAGTAGGAGACCAAACCAAACCCAGCCTATATGTTTTTTACTGTTTGACATGCTTTACACATACCACATTATCATGATATTCTATGAGAATTCTACTTGTGTTATTTATTTTGTTTGTCACTGATTTTGTCTTTTATTCAACACTATAATATAAGCCAATAGAAATGCAATTAATCATTTGATTATTTTGAAAAATACTCATTTAAAATATCATGTTTTGTTTTTTATATGTATCCTAACAGTTGTCATGGTTACATGGCTACATTTATAAATATGACTTGTAAATGGGAGTGAGACTACCGACTAGTATCGAGTACTCTTGTCAGCATTACAGGAGGTGATCAATTTGGCCCAAAAAAATGACAAATACTAAAGAATTAATAACGATCATTGGTAGACATACTTCCAGTCCTGATTCTGAAAGTAAACACAGACAAAGATGTCTTTTTAAAAATTTTAACAGTCGTGGCAAATAACTTCTCAAAATTTCAGGAAATTCCTGTGTCAAAAGTGTTTTACCTGTGACCACCTTTGAATTGAGTTGTTCCACTGTCAAGGAGACTGAGAAGAGCCATTCATATAGAAATAGATACTCGATAACTCCAGAATTTATGTACCTATTTTTATAGAGGTCGCTGAATAAAATTACAGAAATACAAAAACAAAATACAAAAAAGGTACCTTTAACAAGCAGATTTAAAAATGGCAAGAAAAGAAGAGAAGAACTAGTCTTAATATTAAATTTGGATGCATTGTTTACATACAGAGATCGTCTATATGTCTGTTCATGCTCTGTACATATTCAAGAACCATTAAAGTCTGTTGTTGTTGATCCTGTGCCAGCTTTTGATATATATAAATGACAAAATATCTAACCTGATTGCTTGTATATACTAGATATGTTTTTTTTTTATCTTTGGTTATTACTTTTATTTTAATGAATATTTTTAGTAAAAAATACATTTATTGACTTATTCTTGAATGAAAAAAATTTGATCAGTCACACAGTTCAGACGCCATCTAGGATTTTTGGCAAAAATTGCCACAATTTGGAGCATTTGTGTCTCATGAATGCTTTAACCAATTAACATGCTATGTAGCATGTAGCACGTATGACCAAAGCATCTTCTGCAAAAAATAGCATGTATATCAGTGGTTACATATCGAGGTATATTAAGCTTTCAAATTTTTACCTGACAAAGCTGCTCTGCAGTTTTAATAATTGTTCTTGTTTTTATTCTAGGTGGATTTTCTATGGGTGGTACAATGGCATTACATCTAGGCTATCGTTTACACAGGGACTTAGCAGGAGTGTTTGCATTCTCATCCTTTTTGAATGAAAATTCTTATGTATACCAGGTATAGTCTGTAATTCATTTATTGCCATTGGTTTATAGAGCATGTAATTAATGGTGGTCTGAAGTATAGTTGGCAACATTGTTGTTGAAATTGAAGCAGCAATAGCTGTCATTTTGTAAATTTTTTTGTTTTTTAATTTAGCCACATAAAGATGAGCAAATCTTATAGAAATATTGTTTTAGACACAATTGCATGGGCAATGTCACATAAAATGTGATGTGAAAGCTAAGGGTCATTTTGTTGAAATCAGTCAGGTGATGGGGACTGTAGAAAATTATGATGCGCAGGGCACATTATTATTAGGGGAAGTGATACATAAGCCATCAGCGAGAGTGCGTCAAAGAGAGGCATAGCCACTCAAGATGGCAACCTATTTGACATTATGTGCAGGGCCCCTGGTATGTTGTCATCTTGTAATGTAATCCCAGGGGTTAATTCTTTTGACAAAACTGGATTCAATAGATTCTGCCCTCTGGAGACCTGATTGCAACCCCACGGCCATCTTTTTTCACTTGATTGTATGCATCAAATATCGATACCATATTCGCTCAATTTAGCGCCCATGTTACTCAACTCAACAAAAAATTGTGTTTTTAGGTGGGTGCGTAGCTGAACACCCCCCTCGAAAAATTATGCAAATGACTATTTTAGTTTACCAATAAGGGAGAATATTACATCTATTTGGGGAAAATAAATTTAGTTGTGTTGTCATTGATTACTATTACAATGAAGAAACAGAAATTGTCACAAAAAAGATTATAACACATTTTATAATAATAATATACAATCAAAATGTGTCTGATGAGAAAACAATTGAAGTCAAGATCTTTATCATTATCTTTATTGTTGAATGTTTCTGCAATCTCTCGATGCACAGCAATTTCTGTCTAATATTATCTGACCTGCAACAATGTCATAGACAAGTTTGTTATTAACCAATCAGAATAGAGTGTTGTACTTACACATTCTATGGAAATTCCTCAAGGCCTTCTGCTAACACAATGTATAATTGGATTATCAATGTTGAAAAATGATTTGTTGGAATTGATTTCTGCCAAAAAATATTTTTTTTTTTAAATTTGGAGCATTTTGGAAGTGATAGGCGTTTCGTTTGTATGTGCCAATCATAAGTGTTTTTTTATTTTTTTGGAATGTTTTTTTGGCATGATATATTCCAACACGTGTTTGGCACTTCTCCAATTAGTTTTCACCACGACAAATGTCGCTCTAACGTTATCAACTACTTTAACCAGGCAAAGTGCTGTCGTGAGAAGCCCGATTCAGGCCGTCGCTGTAATTACCCCTACGGTAGCTTCACAACCTGATGCTTGTTGCGCACACCCTCCTTTCTATGCTCTCTACGATGTCAACTCTTCATGAAACTATTATTTAACAATCCATATTTTATATCAAGAAGTATTTGCTGTACAACGTATTGATGTATAAATAAACAAGTTTGAATTATACCTCACATCTGTTCAACTCAACGCTATCAATGTCCGATTCAACAACAATTCCACATGTTTAGTCAGTTGGTTTTATGTGACGAATAGAACACCTAAACGCCTAGTTTTGCGATATAATCTTACCCACCACATAAATTTGCACATTTGGTGGGTGCTAAGTCGAGTGAGTAAAGTACATGCTTTGAGTGTTCACATTTTGATGATGGCCATTAGAAATTGGCAGAGAAGAAAAAAAGTTACACCTATTGTTGCTTCAAATCTTGCATGTGATTTGATGAACAAATGATACTCCAAAAATATGGATTTATTATATGTCTCAAACGATTTAAACAAAATTTCATAAAATATTAATAGTCACAGTACATGGTCACTGTGAGTTATCAAGTTTAAGAAATATATAAAGTTTGAACATGAAAGTTCAGTGCATGTAGGAGAATAGTTTCAGAATAGCATTAATGGTCACCAGTATTTGAAAATGACATGCATCAAGGGCCAATGTACCAATTTTGTTAGCAAGTCAGGAATCAGTGTTGTGCATTATCAAATGGCTTGCGAAAACACCCTCATAAGCAGTTTATGAAAGTGACCGTAATTTCTTAACGTGAATGAATCATAATGAGTTTTTTTTTGTTGACAAACATTGGATATTGCATGTGGTACAAATCGACCAATGAGAATAAGCTGCTGCAATGCACGAATCAAATAGATATAAATGCATAAATCAAAAGTGTGAAACAAAGAGACATTTAAGGCACAGAAAGACTAACTGGTTTTATTTCTCATCAATAAAAAAAAATAGATCTAGGTGGATTGACAGCATCCAGAGGCAGCATATCCCGCCAAATGGTTGAATTTCCATTGAAAAATAAAACAAATATTCTATTAGAAATGAGTTTGTTAACCTAAGAGATTTCAGTATATTATGCATTTTCTTTTGAAATCAGAGAGCACCATGGTCTCAATGAGACTCCCATGCTTTCTTCAGCTTAACATTCTTAGCTATTGAATACCTGCTACCATGATAGCAATACCATAATATTTGTGCTTAGCTTAGGCCATGAAAAACAAATACTTTCGTTTCAATGAGGCGGCGAGGCGTTTTTTTGAGCTAAAATGAGACAAGTGCATTTTGGAATGCTTTAGAAGGAAAAAAACAGTTTGAGGCGCATAGTTCAAAATGATGCATGCGGAAACGAGAAACAGAGATCTTTTTTTTTCTCAGCCTTACCGTGATGCAAGTTTGGGCATTTAAAATAACTAGCACTAAATAAAATAAAATAGAATAGAATAGAATAGAATAGAATAGATGTTATCTTCAGTATTTGTTTGTTTCCACTAAATTCTCTCTCTTGTTCTTTAGAACTTACTAATTGTATTTGATTATTTTTGCAGAAATTAAAGGAAAATCCTGGAATTTCTCCACCTCTTCTACAGTGTCATGGAACAGAAGATCCTCTCGTCTTGCCAGCATGGGGAAAAGCTACCCAAAAAGAACTGAAAAAACTTGGAGTCTCGTGCCAATACCACGTTTTCAAGCACATGTTTCATGAAATGAATAAAGAGGAAATTTTGTTGCTGAAGGATTTTATTGAAAAATATTTACCGGAATAAAAAAAAGATTTCTAAAGGATGCATTTGCTACTACTAACGGTATATGTAGAGATTTACAGCATGTTATAAAGTATCAATGTTAGAATACAGCTATTAATGCTAATGAGACACCGACTGTATGGTGCTGCACAGTTTGCAAAATGTTCACTATGGATGAATTCAACATAATAGTTGCAGATGACCGAGCCTGAGCTACTGTAGTCGTATTAGGGTGTTTATTTTTGCTATATCACAATCTTGAAGAATCACTAGTAGCAAAACAAGTACATGAACTGGGTAAATCTGTCAGATTTGTTGTCATAGTTACAAACCCCAAGTCAAGCTGAGATAAATTTACACTAACAATCGTTTCCATTATTCTGGTTTAGTGTAGGCTTTCTATATTCTGGTTTAGTGTGGGCTTTCTATATTCTGGTTTAGTGTTGGCTTTCTATATTCTCGTTTAGTGTAGGCTTTCTATATTCTGGTTTAGTGTAGGCTTTCTATATTCTGGTTTAGTGTAGGCTTTCTATATCCTGGTTTAGTGTATGCTTTCTATATTCTGGTTTAGTGTAGGCTTTCTATATACTGGTTCATATTACTTTCTATGTACTTATCTGTCTATTTTGAACTATGGGTATTAGGAAGTTTATTTTAATAATATTGTACAGTGCTATTTAATTATGCTAAAACACTTATATATGTTTTTAAATATTTTTTTACCCTATAAAGATGTCATTTGATATTTATATATTAAGTAGAACTATTGAGACTATTAATTTGGGGTCCGTCCTGACTGGCGGCCATTTTAGTCACAAAATTAGTCCCTAAATTCTGATACTTAATAATGTCCATAACCTTTCTCAAAGGATGAACATGTTTGATGTCATTCAATGTTGGTGGGACATCGCACTGCTACGCGGGATATCCCGTATTTTCATCTGGCTCTCGTGGTAGGGGCTGTTTTGACTGTTTTCGCCGGCGAATTGAGTCATGGGGTGCATCACTGCCTCAGTTACACAGACTGGACCTCCTCCACTCTCTTTTAATTTGAACATGGAGGGAGCAGTCTCAGTGCTTTGGGATGCCACTGACCAGTTGGTACAGGTGAAACCTGTGAGCCAGTTTGGCTGCTGCCAAGGACAAGCTGAAAGTGGAAAAAGTACAATCCAAAATCCACTGGCACCCACTGGCCACAAACAGCCAGGAGGCAAGCGTCCCTGCTCTTCCAATGGAGGAAAGAGTAGTGGTTCCAGGAAGAAGGGATCAGGTGGTGGTCCCACCTTGGTTGGTTGCCCACCCAGGTCGCAATAAAAGCAAGTTTGGCGCTTCCACCTGCGACAGGGGGATGGGCATATGTTCGGCTGGAGGCAGATTCTGAAGTTTTCAACTCCTACCCCTACTCCTTACAAGGTCTCACCTAGCCAGAGGAGAGATCACCCCAAATGTAGAACCGCCGAACCCATGGCCACATATCCCTGTCGCACACAGATTGCATTGGTGTATTTCGGCTTGGAGGCAGCAGGTAACTGACCCCTGGACTCTCCAGGTGGTGATATATGATTATAAGGTCACGCTGCGATCTCTACCTCCCCTGTCAACAGCCCCCCTGTTGGGAGCGATTCAACAGAAAGTAGACAGTTTGCTTACAAAGGGCGTTATACACAGGAAGACCCGGCGATGGAAACACCAAGCACAGTTTTACTCTCTCTGCACTGTTTCGACTGGTTAGTCTCACTAGACTTATGCAATGCTTACTTGCACATACCAATGCACGCAGAGAGTCAATGACTCCTTTGATTCACCCATTTGGGCCAAGTAATAAAGTTCAGGGTTCTCCCCTTCGGGTTATGCACGGCTCCATACATATTCACCACCGGGCGTTGGTACACATCAACTGTATCTAGACGACTGGTTGCTACTCAACCAAAACAAGGGGTTGTTGGCAGAACAAGCAAGGCTAACAGCGGATTTACTACACCAGTTGTGCTTCCTAGTAAATCGAGAAAAGTCCCACCCACACCCAACACAGCAGTTGGTGTTTCTGGGCATGGAGTTTGACATAGAGGCAGGCTTGGTACGTCCATCACAGGCTTGTTGCCCTGTACTAAGCGGCCAAGCTGAACGGCTAGTCAGCATTCCCTCTGTGTTGCTCCGAGAGCTGATGCGTATCATCGGAATGATGTCAGTTCGCAGGGTAGTTCCCCCAGCTGCACTACACAGCCGCCCGGTGCAACACACTTGGTTACAACACCTGGTTCACCTATGGGAACTGCATTGACGAGTAACTCTCTCGGACCAAGCAAGGGATGTCTTGCCTTGGTGGATGGCTATTGTCAACCTCATGCAGGGGACTTGGACCCATTCGCCACGACGATGCCTCCCTCACAGGTTGGCGAGTGCACATATTGGACGAACAGGCCCTAGTAATATGGCTCTGCATTTAAGTAAGGGCCACCATATCAATTGGCGAACAGAAAGCAGTGCGCAGTTCAAGGCCATAGAGTCTTGCTTTGTACGGACAACACAGCGGTTTCCTATATCAACAAGGAGTGGGGGGGACCAAATCTCCATCGCTGTCAGTTCTGGCGGAGAAAGTTCTTTTTTGGTGCCTGGAGTACAATGTGGAGCTAACCGTACACCAACCCCAGGGGTGCAAAAAATTCAGTGTCTGAGCGAGTTGCAAACGTCCTGGCCAGGGTGATTAGGGATTCCACCAACGCAGCCTTTGACTTTAAATGGTGGGCGTATGTTGATTGGTGTTGTGGAAGGGAGATCCATGCCATCCCTCTGTTTGCCAGGTAGCTGATTTGTTGGTCCATTCATTTCAAGAGTTGGGTTTGTCCTATGCAGCAATCGTTGACTATAGGTAAGTCTTGTCACCCACCATCTAGACTTCTTTGGGGACAAGACAAGCTGATTGTCCTATTATTAGGAGACTGTTTACTGCTTTCCAGGCCTAGACCCGAATGAGGGAACCACCCAATTGGGACTTGTCCGTTGTATTGTCTTTTCTAAGCAGACCAATCTTTGAGCCTCTGGGATCGAACATGGAAAACAGTCTTCTACTAGCTCTCGCCTCTAGGCATCGTTCTGATCGAAGGGACTTTTATTTTATGGAGAATTGGGAAAATTCACAGCCGATCGCCATCCCCGTCTAGCCAACATTGTTATTGTCAGGAGTTGCTCCTTTGCCCAGTTCTAGCGTTGAATTACTATGAGAACTGTACTTAGATTTCAATGAAACTTAGTACATATATCTCTGGGAAGGACAAGTCTATGGTGAAAGTAAGACTTATTTCATGCATGTAATAAACACAATTTTTGCTTTATGTGTATTGAAGATGTGCTTCTAATATAATAAATACAATATTCCTTATTTGTACTTTATACATCCAATAACTTCAGCACATTCTAAGTTTTCTTTATTTTTATTATGTAGCTAATACTGGTTGGAAATCTTCTATGGTGGAATCCATCAAAATGATTCTAGTCTAGCCTAGCTCTTTGAAGATGAAGTGGTATAAAACCTTCCATTCACTAAGCCTAGATCCATATTCCCTACATTGTCTATGCACTTCGTCATGGCCAAGAATCAGAGAATCCCACCCACCTACATTCCGGCATTCAGTAACCGTTATAATGTTGTACTGTTATGGCCTAATGCTCGATTTGAGGCATGCAGTCCCAAATTTTCAAAACGTCATGAGAACACTTTGACTTCCATGATTGCACAACCATTGATCAGATGCTAAAAGCTGGTTATTTGAAATCACATAATACGTTCGTTGCTGACAGAAATGGTATTTCCAGGCTGGGCAAGTTATGACGGAAGAGAGAATTACAAACTCGTCTCGAAACGATTTTCCATATCAAGTTTGTATATAATTATTTCACACATGACTTTCTTTCATTTCGTAGCCAGGCGTTTTTGTATCATTTTATTATTAAGCTAAATACCATGCCTGCAGTAAAGCTCGTATCCTTTAGACGATCAATTACTTTCCTGGTACCCCCATTTAATGTGTAAACTCGCCTGACGTTCAATTAATTTGCTAGATTAGCAACAATTTGATTTTCAATGTCTTGTGTTTTAAGCTTATGTAAATTCTAATCTTATTTTTGCACTATTGCAGGCGTGCCCTATGGCCTAAACCTCGCAGCATATGGTGACATAAGGGATGTTTTCACTCCCTGTTAGTTTAATATGAGTTGACCACACTGAAATGCATTACCGCTGTCCACATTCTCTATAAGGGTGAAATCAGCAAATCCTGATTAACCTCTTAAAAAGCCACTAAACAATTTGCAAAACCCACCCAGTCATTATTTTCATCTGCCTTTGTATTCATTCACGTTTATTTAGGTCTAATTGAGATTGCTTTCTCTAATAAATTAGGGTTGGTTGGTTGGTTAATAGAACCTGGGAAAGCTATGCTGGTACTGGTTCCTTGTAGTGATATCAGTGTATCTGTGTATAGCATGCCCAACCAATTGTAGTGATATCAGTGTATCTGTGCATAGCATGCCAAACCAATTGTAGTATATCTGGATTAAATTGTTTCAAAGTCCTTCTGTTGGACTATTCTCAACGGAGCAGCTGCAGTGTAAGTGTCCAGAGCAAATAGCGGTAATACAGTGCTTATGATGGTTGTATATAGGCTGATTTGAGTATACGCCTGTCATTAGACAGTTTTGTTTATGGATGACCTTAGTGACCAGAGATAGTGATTCCAGATGAATGACCCCGATAGGTCAATTTGATGGGAGAGTAGATCCAGATTGAACTGCAAGGATCAACTATCTATGTATTGACAGCATCCCGTTGGTAGTTTTTGTGTGTGTTTGAGGTATTCTTTTCATTCCGAATAAATAATGTTTATCAAAAACAAAACAAATAATACTGTATGGTGGTGTTATTGTATCATGTGAAATAACAATGGGTTTTGAACATAATATGTTGTTCATATCGTCATGGAGTCGGCCTTGCACATTCATAGCAGTAATGGAGATATATCCAATAAGTGTCGAACCAGCCGAGGGAGCAGTGCATTTGGATTGGTACTGGCGGTGAGCGCAATGTTATATTGCATTCGAATCCATATGTTGTGTGTTGTTGTGCATCTATTATATATTAGACAGTATTTAAAACCTAATTTGGGCAATGCTCAAATATGAATATGATATCAAATCAAATTATATTAACATTGTCCCCATTGTACAGGTAGATTTGAACCAAGAATCACAACACAACTTCCCCAATAGCGGACGTATACATAACTAATCCATCACTAGATGGGTTGAATGTGTTGTAAAAACATAGCCCCAGCAAATTCATAATAAAACATATAACATTACATGTAAATGTGTCCTAGATCTATTATATTATATTATATCGTCTTGCACACTGGGCAAAATAGTCAGCCAATAGCTCTGAGCGCATTCAGGTTTGTGAGACATGAAGTTATTACATTCTTCCGGAGATAACAAGGCGTCTCATATCCTGTCTTCTAACAACAGCATAAATAAAGAACGCTTTATGTGTACACTTCAGTGGTGCCGTGACTTTAAACGGCTTTTAAGACGTGTTAAACGCGAAGCCCTCGTTTGTGTTCGATGAATAGTTGAATGATTGATGTTATTTCCTAGATGGTTGGAATCACTCATTTACTAGCCATGCTAAGTGGATTTTGTTTGAATTTGGTATGAATAAATAATTGTCTCGTAACAACCATTATTTCAGTATTTCACCCACACATTGAGAAGGCGATGCTAAATGTTTGCAATTTTGAGACTTAAATCTTTGTATATTTTGGCAATGCAACAATGTTATACCAATGTTTGTTGACCCTGAAAACAGTGATCGAAATTTCTTTCTTAAAACATAAATGTAGACCAACAGCAGTGTTTGTACACTGATACCATCGTGTTTTTGGCCATCATATTATATGAACAGAACTAATCACAGCTTCTCGTTACACAGACGGCCGCCGAGGTCCTGTAGAGAACCAAGCGACTTGTGAAAGAGATGATATCATTCTACCATATAATACATACTATCAAAGTCAACTCGAACATACACTCTCAAATAACGATAGTAATAACAATAGTTCAACTAAACTCTCCATTAATTTGCTGGGTCTTCTCTCTAGTTTAGTAATTAACGATCTTTTCAATTGATGTTCTTAGTTGTCCCTTTCCTGCTTGTTTATTGAAGTATATCAGCGCGTCGCTCGTAACATGTTTGTTCTCACGCTATGATGATGGCATAGAACTTTTGAATTTTGTGCTAGAGTTAAACATTTTCATCACCAGTGTTTTCAATCCTATATTTTAGTCAAAACAGGAATGAATTAACAACTATAAAATAGCGACACAAATCACCTCCGACTGGAGACGTAGAGTTTAAACATAGGTCTTTATTTTATGTATTGTGTATTTCTCAAGGGCATCATCATTTATGTCACCTATAAGGCATGCTAACCTGTTAAGATGTTAATCACTTTGGAGTGTTTTCGGCAATTTGGTGAAATATGGCAATAAAGAATGAATGACTTTGTTAATTATGGGCTTGTCATATTGCTCATACTGTTGGTCCAATATTATTTTGACGTCATAATTTAATAAATACGATTTTCAAATCGCGTTTGGCAATATAAAATACAAAGCAGCTGCAAAGGTTCAGTTTCTCTATCCAATACTAGTGTGTACCGATGTCTAGTCATGATGACCTTAGTGGACATTAAAATGGTTTCTGTTAGCAAGATTTGATTAAACTCATCCCCCACACGAGTCATGTTTCAAACTTCCTTGAAACAACGATTTTGTGAAAATACTTAGTGTTGGATGATAAGAGTAATTCAGAGCTAAGTTCCCAATTAAATAAGAATGAAATATAGAAACTTGTCATATATATATAGAATTCACAGATTGGAGTCGATTTTTTGGGGTCGATGACTATGGCCTACTGATATCTTGTGTATACGTGTTTATATGTTCGCAATTTGCCTGTACTTTCTTAATTGTTACTCGGACTGATCAGGCGTAGCATGATGTATAAAACATACGACTCGCATACCATAATGGATGGTGTCCGATGTGTGGTGATCTATGCTACTCACATTAAACCACGTTGTAGATGTATTCGATTAGTCTAAAGAAGCTGTCCCAACAATATTTTTTTCAGTGCAGGGAAATATTCCAAAGGATTTTTAGGATTGAAATAGCAATTGACAAATTTTTTTTCGTAAATCACTCATATTAACATTCTTGCCAATGACACCCAGAGAAGGAGAAATTATGTATTTTCAAAAGTTTTACTTTCTTTTATTGTACACTGTGCTAATACCTTGGTTGTGTCATATGTATCTATACGTGATACGAAAGGCTCATAAACCATATATGGGTACGTATTCAGTCACATGACGTATTGGCATTATTGCGACCCCTGGGCAATACCTATTGCAATAACAAACATAGGTGTGTTATCCTTGCCACTGTCTCGCGTTACGAATGCTGCTCGGCACGTACACCTTGAACAAGTAGTTTGCTGATAATCAGACTCTGACAACATTTAAATTGCAGTCATGACGTGTTTGAAGTTTTATGTTATTACTTGCGGTTTGCTGGCTTATCTTGCGAGTGGTAAGTTCTGATTTGAAGTATTTGTATGCTACTGCCGTCACCGTGAAATGTTTTGAGGACAGTTTGTACATTGGGTGCCCTGTGTTCTCGCTTTTTATATATGTTAATACAATCCGTACGTACATTTCTCATATTTAGTATGGTTATTAATGATATTTAATATTATATGCATACAAGTTGAAGTTACTTGACAAGTGTGTTGCAAACGTCGTGAACAAACAGAATTTTCCTATCACGAATGAACGTGTACAGGGTTAACCCAAATTTTACCAAAGAAGCACTTTCTACATTCCCCTGCCTTTCGTTAAAACGTGAAATAACAGAAATAAGACGTATTTTCCAATGTCACCATGTGTGATAGTTATTAATATGTAACAAAATCACCCAGCTTTCAAAAACACTGTAACGGTGTTACTCTTGGTTTGGTGGCCATTATTGTCAGCAGGTCACGTTTCTATTTTATGAATGGCAAGTCTATTGTTGCCTATGTAAGAGTTTTTTCTAAACACATCCATGTTTTCGACCCCCTGAGAAGGATTGATCCAGTCATCCAAGCACCTTTATGTACATGCCTCCACATGCATGAAAAACGGTTTGTTTCAAACTCATTTCACTGAAGTTGTTTCGATAATAAGCATTGATCAGGGGCAGACCATTTTACCCACGAGAGGGCATATACAAAAACAATACTTTCTACTCGAGACGAGTCATTCTAACAGAAAAATACAAAAAACAACATATTTGATCATAAGTAGTTTATAACTGCAGCGTTTGTTAATAACAACCCAGTAGTTTCATATGAACAATATCATTTAAACTACTAATACAATACAAAAAAACACGAAAACTGTTCTTGATTTTAAATACTTGTTTTAGATAGAGTCTACCCAATACAGCCAAACTTTTTCCCAAAGAGTGGTGGTTACAATAAGCGTTTTTGTAAACTTCTTATTATAACACTATACATATGAAATCCAGAGTTAATGTAATGAAAACATCGATGAGCGAGCATGTCTTCCTAAGTTTCCAAAAGTTCAATTGAAACGAAAATATAAACAGTTTTACCTCTAATATTTGTTGAACTATACATTGCGTTACATAATCTGGTCAATCTGGCAAACGATTTATATATATTATTGTTCATAAAACTGTCACGTATATTACTTTGACAACACATGCAAGCATAAACAGTGTCATGCATAAATTGTTCTTTAATTATAATTATAATGCAACTGTAAAACATTGGATGTCTTATCCCAGAGTCATATAAGCGTGTACACTTAACATATGCGCCTATGATAATGCCTAGTAACTGCAATCCACGTCAATCCTGCGAGTTCCTTCACATTTTACTACAAACTTGGGTATGTATTTAAACGCAATCACATTGCTTGGCATACGTATTTGCATTCTAGTGACCCCTGGTCAATACCTATTATAATAACAAACGTTGGTGTGGTACCCTTGCAACCACTGTCTCGCGTCATGTTCGTCGCAATGTTCACCTTGAACAAGGAGTTTGCTCGTCTGTTTTGAAGTAAAGAACAGACTCCGACAACATTTAAATTGCCGTTATGACGTGTTTGAAGTTTTCTGTCATTACTTGCGGTTTGCTGGTTTATCTGGCGAGTGGTAAGTTCTGATTTGAAGTATTTGTATGCCACTGTTGTCACCATGAAATGTTATGGGTAGTACAGTTTGTTCATTTGATGCGCTGTGTTCTCGCTAATATATATGTTCATACATTTCTCATAGTATGATAAGTAAATTTAATGATATTTAATATTGCATGTATTTGTAACATACCCGTTGACATTACTTGACAAAAGAGTTGCAAGCGTCATGAACAAACAGCGCTTTCCCTGCGGCGGATACTGATTTGTCAGATCGTGCATTACCGTCATTCAGTGAATCACGCATGAATTAACAACATCAGGATACATTTATTTCTTGATGATACAAAATTGACTACACAGTCTGTCTAAAACTAAATTACAGGAAGTATGACAGCAGACAAAATCGTACACACTTATTACTTAGGAGATTTCTAATTCCATGGATCATAGTAATCTCATTTATAACATGATTATAGAAGTAAAGACAATCCTCCGCCATGGCAGTGATTTGTTGAAATGCTATCAAACTGACCAGTGACGTAATACCTATTTAAAATGGCTTGTAATTATTGAAAGTGTGTTTCTTAGTCATAGGGTTCAGTGTTAAAGTAAGGTGAATACAGTAGTGAAACATGTTAAAATGCGTATAACTTTTGACTACCATGACAATACTTTATCAAGTAAACGGAATATAATACAAAGTAGGTTTTTAGCATCTTTAAAGTAACAATGAATCAAAACAAATAAAAAAGGTGTATATTCTAAGCCTATAAACGATACAAACAAGAACAAACTAAAACATGCCTGAGTAATCAAGTAAATATGGAGTTTGTGAGGGGTCAAATTTACAAAAAAACTCCATCGAAATTAAATACCATTATAAATGTTTTATCAACAAATATTTTACTTGATAATTATATAACATTGAAACTACAGCCTTATTGGATACGGGGGCCCACTTATCAGTGATTTCTGAAAAATTCAGACACAACACGGCTAAGTCGATTAATGGTGTATTGGTTCATTTAAAAGGTCTTGTTTACATCCCAACAGTAATAATCTCTTTCATATAATAAATGATACGAAGATAAATATAATTATTGGCTCGGTCTTTTTAAGAAAACATGACGCTATAATTTATTGCGCGCCATACAAATTATTGTTGAAAAAGAAATCAGAATTACGTGCAGCTAACAAAACTCTCATTCCAGTGACATCAGAAACTATAATATTAGCCAAATTACGAGCGCCTTACCCTAACGGTATGCTAGGTTAAAAGGGGTCATAAATTATCAAGATTTGGGATTATTCCGGTCACATGACTTTGTAATGTATAGTAATAGATAATAAAGTATCAATTAAAATATTAAACCCGTACGATAGGGAAGTATATGTCAAACGAGGTGCAAATCTCGGACGATTCTAATGTATTGACGAGCACACACAAATACATACATACATACATACACTTGACAGAAATAAAAACCATACAAAAATTCAGAACATTACAAGAAAGAAACTCGACATAGAGCATAACATTTCAGACACAGATTTAAATAGACAAGAAGAATTAGAGTTGAATCAATTGTTAAATGATAATAGTGATATATTTGCAGGAGAAATGGGACATTGTAACATTACGAACCACAAAATCGAGCTAAAAGATAGCAAACCTAAACCGATTAGCAGTCGACCATATACAGTAACGCCACAAAAACGCAAAGAAATGACACGACAAATAAACGAAATGTGGACACATGATATCATCGAACCAGCGCCCCATTCTGAGTGCTCCATCACGGTAATTTTGGTCGAAAAACCGGACCACACGTATCGTTTCTGCGTTGAATATAGTAAATTAAATGTTGCAACTAAAGAAAACGTCTATCCATTACCACTAATAACTGATTGTCTAGATTCACTGGGTTTAGCTCAACCGAAATATTTTTCTACACTAGACTTAAAACGCGGCTGCTTCCAATTAGACGTACACACAGATTCTCGGGAATTGACAACATTTACGACTTATGGTGGTACATACATGTTTAAACGATGACCAATGGGAGTGAAAGGGCCGCAAACAGTTTCGACCCCCCCCCCTCCGACAGACATGGTTCCCGTCATCCAAGCAACTATGTGTACCACATGCCACCACATGCACCAACAACGATCGTTTTAGATTTATTTTGTTCGAGTTGTTTAGATATTATGCTATAATTGGGGACAGGCTATTTTTACTTATGGTAAACACAGGGCACATATATTTGTAATAACACCTACTTTCTACACCAGTAATTCTCTTTTACTAAGTGTTTGTGGTTGTGGTCATGATTAGTGATTGTAGTGATTGCCATGGTTAGCCATTGTATTGGTGGTTATGATTAGCGGTGGTAATGGTTAGTGATTGAACTGCTGGTCATGATTAATAGTTATAGTGGTTGCCATGGTTAGTGATTAGTGTAGTGTTCATGATACCAGTCAGTCAAAAACATTAACCGCTTTGAACCTATTAATTAGAAAGGTGAGCAGACGTCGCATTAAATATATACACAATTGAAGTCCCCAGAAGGTCAAACAGTGAAGTCCTTCACAATGTCAAGATGTCATTAAAACGTGCTAGGACAACTGCACCCCACCTCTCATTGAAAAAAGCGGTGTGATTTGCAAGACTGCTGTACGTGTTTTCAAGTACGAAGGTTAACGGGTTTCTTCAGCTACCTAATTTGTCTATGTTGACACCAAATCAGTGGATTTCAACTGAGTGTCGAATAATAACTAATAAAAATAGAGCCCATTAAAAAGTTGTAAAAGCGCGGACGTGGAAACTGAGTTATGAACAGTCTGCTACCTTAATGCAAGGCTGCCGTTGTACACACACTGTGTGTGCAACCACCGTAGAAGTCACATCCATACTTTTGTTGATGACCAGCCTTGGGCAAATTAAAGTGTTTTGTATTGTATTAAGAACAAGCTCCATACGTGATACGAGTACGTACACAAAACAGGTGCCGTCATATCGTGATTTTGCATAGGCATGTACGCCGAAGTTAAAGTCAAACAAAAACAGTATACCGATCCACTCTCATATCCTACACATTATGACACTGGTCATACGTATGCACATCAATCAGAGTACACTTGCAGTGCCATTCTTTTCTTGACACACCCAGACGGTACTGGACCATATGTCGAATGGAACAATACTGTTTTGGGATACCCGCATTCCCTGGGGGGCTCATGTTACAGTTATCTTACCAGTCAAGATGGTCAATATTGAACTCGCGTAAGGGATTTGATATTAATTGCCCAATATAATTTACCGCATGTGGGATGAGAAAAAAAAACGCATGTCAAATACAATAGGCCCAGTCGCGTTATACACTGTAACCGCCTTGCAACAACAAAGGTGCCCTCATCGAACATATGAATTTAGGTACGATTTTCGTCATTGGAATGCTTTCGAAATTGCTGGAATTCGAGCGTAAAAAATCGACTGATCAAGATAATCAAATGCATGTAAATGCTGATTAATTTGGACTCTTTTCAGGCACATTACCTTGTCGGGAAAACACCTTAACATTTCTTTGAAATATTCTTTAATAACACTAAGAAACCATGCTGTTAGTGATATTAATATATCTGTACGTTATAATAATTTTATGATTGTTACTGCTCCGTCAGTATTCAATTCAGACATACCTTGGCGATAATAATTTGTACGAGATGTTATATCATTTTTTTTAAAGGAGGCTAGGTAACCAAAATACCAATCATTGATTGTTACACAAGATTGTTGTGACAATTCTATCTCTTTTCATCACCCCAGCTACAAATTATATTGTATACGTTGATGATAATGGGTGAACAATTAAAGTCGTCTAAAAGGGTTCACGACGTCTTGAGTTTATACCTGGGTAATTATTTAATAAATGAGTGACTCCATATAATATGAAAACTTGTATATGTATATTACAGTATTGTAAGTATGAACAGCAAATAAGGAACTGTCTTTTGTTCTCGTATATTTATTTTTATGAAAATATTAAATAAATCATATTTAAAGTCTCAAATATTTGAACAATTACATAGGTATCTACGGAAGTTCGGAAGCGGAACAGAAAGAGATGGAGACACAGAGCAAACTATTTACCAAGTTATTTCACAAATATCATAAACACGTGGCACCAGTACGTATACACCCCGAACATCAGAAGAAGATGGCTATCAATGTGTCCGTCAATATTGCTCTCCAGTCTATTGTTAATATGGTGAGTAATGTTCACGTGTGTATTAGTCCATTTATTGAAACAGTTTACTTTCTATAAATGTGAGGTCGCCAGAACAACACATTTTACATAGGACGTATGGTTTGATTTGAAATAGATAATAAACTAAATAATAAATAAACTATCATTATATCCCTGAATCCAAACAATGAATTAATATCACAAATAATATTTATAAATATCCATGCACGAGAACGTGTAAATATCATGGAATAACTAAAGATAAGCACATGATGGATTGTTGAATGACTAAAATTATGTTGTATTAATTTCGTTTATAGGATATCCACAGCGGATTACTGGAAACACAGATATGGATGATGATAGTAAGTGGGAACTTCATATATGTCATATTGTAGATCCTATCCACCCATAATATTTTTTCTTGCTGTGGCCATTATTTGTTATAAAACAAACAAACAAACA